CCGCCATCTCCTCTGCCTTCAACCAAGTCAAACGAAGTCTACCTCCCCCCAGGCCTCGCTGCCTCACCCCCCACCCCAGCCTCTCCGACCACACTAGCGGTCCCCGCCGCCGCGGCGGCCGCTGCTCCGCCGCCGCCGCCGCCGCCGCAGCCGTCCGGCCCGGCGGCCGCGGCCATCGCGGCTCCTGTTGCCATCGTGGCGGCCCTTCTGATTGCTCTGATTGGCCTGGCGGTCTGGAGGCGCCACCGTTTGTCCGCCTGGTGGCACAGGGCTGCCGGCGAGTTCAGGCCGGACCTGAAACCCGCGCCCGGCGGCGGCGGCGACGACGACGACATGGGCGGGTTCTGCGGCCTCACATTCCGCGGCTGGGGCGCCGGCGGCGGCGGCGACGGCGACGGCTTCGGACAGGGCTTGCACTCGCCGCACGCCAGCGGCGGCGCCGGGGCGCACCTGCCGCTGATGTCATCGCCGGACCGCGGGGTACTGTCGTCGGGCTTTCCAGGCGGCAACACGCCGCGCATGGCCACGCCCGCGGGGCCGCTGCCTGACTGCCTGCTGCTCCAGTCCTCGGCCCCAAACGTCGACTACTCCCGCCCCATGGCCGGCCCTACGGCCCTGATCGCCGCCCTGAACCAGCGCCGCAGCTGCGGCGCCGCAACGCCGCCCCGCTCGCCCGACCTCGGGCCCCCGCCGCCGCCCGCCGCGGCGCCTGTGGCGGCGCCGGGCGCGGCGCGGCGCGCCGACTCGTTCTGCCCCTGGAAAACTGGCGAGGCGTCGCAAATCGCGCCCGCGGCCCCCTACCAGATCGCGCCCCCGCCCGACGCCAGCCGCTCTGCCGGATCTGTGGGCACCGCCTCGTCGGCGCGCTTCCACACTGGCAGCACCGCCGCCAGCCGGGACGCGACAGTGACCATCACGTCAGCCGGCGGCTCCTCCGCCGCAACCCCTTCTTCCGGCGGGGGCGCGGGCGGCGGCTCGAAGGCAACGGGCAGTCGGGCGGGGGCGGAGGCGGCGGCGGCGCCGCGGGTGGTGAGGATGTTCCTGCAGGTGGCTGTTGTGGCGGACCCTCACCAGACAAGCAGGAGGTGGGTGTGACCTATGTGTTTCCAGATGGCGTTCACAAGTGCAATTTCAGCGGAGTTTTGGTGGGCTTATTCCAGCTTGTTACAGGGGCTTGCGTGCGTATTGTGCAGAGAAACCGCGCCACTGTTTTGAGGCAGACTGCTTGGCAGAGTCAACACCTCGTCCAGCTTGCTGCCCGTCTGTCGCTGCACGTCATCTAAATTCTCAGGCACGAGGTGATTCGGCTGTGGCTGGTGCCTGTTGAGGACGAGGCCCAGGACGTGCACCGCTCGGGCTCGGGGCACGGCGGCGGCCCGCGCGGCGTTGAGGTGCGCGGCGGCTGCCTGCATATGCCATAGCCTGCTGCACTGGTTGCGTTTGAGCCGTTGAGCGGAAAAGGTTACAAAGTTCAGGGCCGACAAGACAAACGGCCTGGTGCGTGCCGGAACGACCCTTCAGAATATTATCAGCAGGCCTTGCGCTTCATTTCTTTGGGATTCCTTCCCAAGCACCCTCCCCAATCAACGTACGCAGCACCCACGCTCAACCGCGCGCACCACGCGACCATCCGTCTCTGTCCCAAGCCTGCCACACCCAAAGGTCACAACCCCCGCCTATTTCACTCCGCCCAAACCTCGCGCCACTGAGACGGATGGTCGCGTGGCCTGCCACACCCAAAGGTCACAACCCCCGCCTATTTCACTCCGCCCAAACCTCGCGCCGCTTTTTGCAGGTGATCCTGCCGAGTGACCCGGCGCGCATCGGCGTTGACCTGTCCATGTCACTCGCCCGGGACCTGCAGTTCCCAGTCTACTCCTTCATTGGGGCCGGCGCCTTTGGGCAGGTGAGCGGGCATTGCTATTGTGCGGCATACACGGATGTGGGACAGGTGGGCCGGCGCTGGGGGCGACGACGCGGACCCTGCCCACTAAGCAACTACGGCGCTGCTCGTGATGCCCTGGGGCTTTGACCTCGAATAGTGTCGCAAGCACCGGGGGAAAGTTGGCAAACGCCGCGCGGATGAGAACCTGCCAGGGCTATCCTGCGCGTCAGCCGAGGCCCCAAGTGGGCAGTCAACCACCAACACGGCCAGGGGGGCGCAGCCGCTCGCCCCAAGAGCTACGCACACGCTGTAATCGGCACGCCACAACTGCCCCTGATCGTGGTGCTCGGCACTTGGATCTGAGCCACCGATCGCCTTGCCTCACTGCTCGTCTTCCCGACTGCTCCCTGGCCATCCACAATGCAGGTCCACCGCGCCATCCTTAGGGGCCACATCCCTGTGGCTGTCAAACTTCTAACCAACAGCAGCCCGGATGACAGCGTGGCGTCCAGCCTGGTTGAGGAGCTGCAGATCATGAGCCGGGTGCCAGATCACAGGTCAGCCACGTTTGACCTGTGTTTGACCAGGATCGGCAGCCCCGCCGGAGGTCCCCTGCGACACACGCACGGCTGCTGACATTGCTTCAACACACATCCCGCCGGCCTCACATGCATTCAGCGTACGCATGCGCCTTCTCCCACACCCTTGCATCCCGCAATGACGAACAGCTGCTCCTTTCACCCTTCCACCCTGTCACCCTGTAACCCTGTCATCCTGTCACTGTGTCACCGTGTCGCCATGCCGTTCTGCTGCTCTGTTTCCCATTGGGCACTCTGTACCCTGCTCTCAGTCACAAGCGGCGTGGCTGTCTCGCAGGAACATCGTAAAATGCTACGGCGGTTCAGAGCACCCCCCAGAGGTGTTCATCGTGGAGGTGAGGCCTGAATTCCTGGGGGCACTGGTTGCCCAGGATCTGGCGGCGGTGACAGATGCGGTGATTGTCTCGTGAGATCGTGCGTATACGTCTGTTGGGAGTCTGCATGCCCGCAGGGCACCCTCCTGTGCTGTTGCAGGTGAGTCAGCATGCGACTTACCTCCCCTCTTCCATCTCTCACGAGCATGACTGTGCTTTCTTCACAAACACATGGTTTTCGCACGAAGGAATCTATTCATCTGGCCGGCATCGCCCGCCCCCCACCGCAATTCCCGTACGACATACCCCCTTCATCACACACTTGCTCCCCCCCCCCCGCTGCAAAAACCCATGCTGCACATGCCCCCACCAAAAGCCCGGCACTACGTTCC